CATGATTTTTCATAAAATTTCGGCAATGTATGTGATTCTAAACTACATGTATAAACCAACAATTATGAAATAAGTTATTTCAACTTCTATTGATCACTCTTGTTGGCCCGGATGTTATCGCGCGGGGGTTCTTACATTGTACTTTGGGAAGAAACCGGAGGATCAGGAGAAAACCCATGTGGCCGGGCAGGTGACCCAATACCTTTTCACGTCCGACCGGGGAATCGAACCCGGACCGCCTTGGTAAAAGGCAAGTGCGCTATCCACCGCACCACCGGACCACCCAAAACATATTGAGTTTTATAATCCCAAAAAATATTGGTCATTTTTCTGGTTTCATTACACACCCGATGATAAGCTGATGATGAGCCCATATTATGCAGAAATCAAATTGAATTTGATATTTAATTACATTATAAATCGATTAAAGTTTAATGTACTGAATGATTGTCAAGTAACAAACAAATCTTAGATAGATATTGAGTTCAGTAATGATATTTTGAGATTCTAAAAATAAATACATGTAAAAACATTTATTTGTATAAAAAAAAAATGATGCAGCCACTGCAATTTAAGATCAACTTGCTTGCATGCACAGGTATGTTATGTCATACCTTTAGATTGAGTCAAGCTGAGTTAAATTACTTGGCACAACATAATTCAAATTAATCACAAATAATATCTCTTTAAATATATATGCAATAAAATGACGGCGGCTTAATGAATAAGTTTAATTGTTTCGTGTATGTATTTAAACTCAAAAACCCTTTATCAGTCGAAACACCTCGTCTTTTGTCAGTGATCACAACACGAACGTCTCGGGGTGTATTTTTAGGGAACTGTTAAAGAAATAATTGTATCATTATGTATGTCTGATGAGTTTCAAGGATAAATAAGTACCAGTGTAACATTTGTTTCGATTAAGCGGTAAAACGTGACCTGTGTCATAAAGTGGTCTTGCGATAATTGAGCTGATGTCGCAAAAATGTCCCCGCGACGTCGTTAGAGCAATTAAATGAACGAGCATATTTATTTTATCTGAAATGAGGATTGTCAGGTGCAACATGATCAGTCACATACACGATTAAATCACCTTCAAATAGAATATTTATTCCTAAAGCTGTTTCCCTCCTTTTTTGTTATTGTTTGAAAGGAAAGGAAATTGGTTATTGCATATTTCAGACTCGCATAATTATTGTTTTTTAAACATTTCAATTTGCCCCATCCTTGTTAAAGTTTTATTCCACTAAGCCCAAATCTGAAAGGTGCACGAAACTTTTAAACAGGCCTGGGACTGTTGTGTACTAGATATTTACATGGTCAAACAAGGTGTCTAACTTGTCATATTTTTACATGTAATTGTGATGTAGAAATCGTATACAGGGTTTTCTACAGAAATGCAGGAGACAAAATTGAACAGAGTTGCACTCAGGAGAGGTCTGATATAGGCGTAGCCTTTCGTTCAATCCTATTCATTTACCATCTTTAATCAAGTTTGTTGAAATGAAATGAGATAAAAACGGAATTGAAATAAAAAAAAAAATCATCCTAAAAAACACTTATGATTCATCCAGTAGCAAAGGTATCGTAAAACAATTCATTTAATTTTCGGACCACATTCTAAAATTACGGTTTGTTGAGCAAGGTACATGTAATTGGTCCTGACCAAGTACAGTAATAGAGATGTTAAGACCTTGTGTATTGTCTCTTTTGATTGTAATTTGTCATTTGAATTTCAAGTCGATTTCGTTTCAGACATGTCATGATGGTAAATGGAAAGCTCTTTTTTAGTTTCACTTTTAATTGTGACGTTGTGATAAGTAAAAATTGACAAGGTTCCATACTTATTTTCAAAATGCAAACGCTAGGAAATTATTGAATGCAAGTATTTGCATTAAAATTAATAAAGTATTCCATGTGTGATGAAATGAAATCAATTTGACAATTTCCTTTTAGTTTCCGAAATGTCGCTCAAATAAGAATTCCAACTCGCTTGATAAATTGCATATGAAGCGGAAACATCACTCAAAATGCTAAAAGTGTCGTTTTTTTTACTCACGAAAGTTTTACTGTTAAGAACAATGCTTAAATACAAGTATTATGTGCAATAAAAACACTATTTGTGGTAAATATTTTGCAAGCTCTAATCACAAGGGGGCGGGGGGACGTTGGCTTTTACATAATTTCCATGACTCAGAGCCTTCAGGGACAATGTCCGTAGCCTGCTGCTTCAACGTATTGTCGACGTTCTACATTCATTATTTATATTTCCATATATGTATGTACATTACCGGTTTTAAGCCCATATTCAAGTATTGATTGTAACTTCCGAGCGTCTCCAGACAGTCCTGTAACACAGTATTTATGTGATATGTTATCGTTACGTCACAGCTGCTTAGAAATAATCTGTTTTGCTATTTTTATGATGGTAAATTTTAGGAACAACATACTAAGCTTACTCGTCATTCGCCAATAAAGTAACTACAGTGCCTAGAACTAAGGAAATGGTTTGGTAAGTGTATGATGTAAGAATACAGCTAAGGTTTCATGTAGAGTTGGGTTTGCCTCTTATACAATACACTGGTAAATGTTCGCAGCATTTTAATTTTGTCCTTTTTCCGTGATAGAGGAAACTCTATGTTTCTAGAAAAGTATTAGCTTCAGGCCCCATGATCATGAAACGATCTTAAGTCTTCAGTTGACTTCAGTTTGGATTTAGCCAATCACAAATAACGTCATGAAAATTGACGTCATACGTGATTGGCTAAGTAAACATTTAGGTATAATATTGTTTCATGATCCCGTGGCCGGGTTTTGTTTAGTGAACTTTCGACAAAATCTTTCCAAATTTGTAATTATCATTCCGCAATACAAACATGTTTCGAGGAATACATTATCAGGAAAGTAAATATATTGCTTATTATGTAACCCTGGTAAATACTAGGTGCAATATACCGCTCGGCTATAGAGATCTTCTCTTTAGCTTGATCGGTTGAGCGTTAGACTAGTAAGCCAGAGGTCCCGGGTTCGATCCCATGCGGAGGTAGTGATTCATATTTAATTAATCATGCGCTCTGTTACAATTATATTTGGCATTTTACACTATAAAAAACTGGATTCAAAAAATGGGATGCGCAATCTGTTGTTAAAGATGACGAAATATCATTAGTGTGTGTTTTGGAAATCAGCGAAAGGAACCCATGAATAATTGTCTAGCTTCTGAAAGCCAGATGCTTTCGTTAGCTTACTCCGAATACCTACAAACGACGTACACACCATCTAACTGGCAGTCTTCTTAAATTGGTTCTATTTGGTATACGTACAGCATTGACTATTGAGACTGCATTTCGTGTTGAAATAACATATCTATCTACTATGAAAGTAACTTCTCTCTTCAGACAAGAATTTTCCTTTGAAATGTTATGTTCCTCTATGTCAAACAAAATCAAGATGCCTTCATGTTCTATGTACATGGCCAAGATGTAAATTCCTCAAGGTCAGGTTTGTTAAGGACAAGAATAAATATAAATAAGGTTTGCTGGTCTCCCTTTTAGAAGAAAACCACACTTTCGTAGCTGGTTTTTTTTTACGCATTCCGACTATATAAACTGACCATAGTGACAAATTATTACGCACACACGTTTCTGCAATGAATTTTAATAACGCAAATATATTCTATAAACCGTACATATTACACTTCTTGAACCACTCATTTTGTGAGATAATGTAATATGTTATTGTATAGTTAATGCTTAACGCCACGTCAACGAAAAGAGGACACATAGAGCCAATAGGTTAACAATTGATCATTAAAACGATGTCTTAAAATTAAATTAAATATTTATTTTATTTACCTTTACCACTATATTGTTTGCTATATCTTTATAATATGAACAACATGCATATCAATAACAAAACCCTAACGGAAAACAAGCAAATTATATAAATCCATCGCATGAAACCATTCCATGAAAAGACAAACCTGGCACATTTTGTTGTAAAATTGTAAACAATTAATACTTTAAATTAAAACAAACAGCAATTATATGATTGTTTTCCTTTTTGAATACAAAATACATCGTTATTGATCGTGGTTTTCCTGATATCAGTTGTTTACAAAAAAGAAGAAGAAGAAACGTGAGCACAGGTTGTTTGTGTTTCAAGATAGAATCGGCTAATTAAGCATTCAGAATAAAATGCCATGGTATTACATATCAAAACCAGACAGGATGATATAGGTACGTGTTTGAAGTGCCATAATCAAATTTAACTAAGTTTCACCCATTAGCGAAACACGAGGAAACATTTTTCTTGCTCTTCTTAAACTCCCTAGACGCTGGGAACGTCTATTAGAATATTTATTGAAGGAAATATAAGAAAATTGACCAATTTTGCAAATTATTTGATTAAATCAAAGGTACATTGCGTGGTCGTAAGATATGAACTATCATTAAGAATTATATATAAAATAAATCAATTTAAACATTTCAAATATCATTTTAAAACTGTCCGTTTTAAGGTCGTTAATTATTGAACATTTTATGATATACCCATATTGATGTGTTATATTAAACATATGTACTGTATATCTTTACGACTTCTTAAAACAATATGTTTAACAGAGTATCAACTTTAAGAAATTCAACTGATACATTTTTCATACTCGTACTCCACAGCGATAATGTACTAACCATTAAGGTATTTTTTTTTCTATATTGCAAGCTCCATTTCTTTTTAAGTGATCATAATTGGACAAACGAAATAGGAACTTCATTATTCGGTACGAATTTTTAATGTTTTGATAATATATGACGTTAAAAAATGCTTTTATAACAGCAAACATCATCAGTTAGCCATGCATGAAATTTTGATATCAAAAATTCTTTTAAAACATACTAAGCATAATATCAAGGACATTTACAACATTTGATGTGTGGTAATATCAACTCATGTCAGTTTTGGAAGGCTTAGTTATGACGGAGAATTAAAAGTGTACTTACCACCATTAATGTGCACGAAGGGCATCCTAACAGTATTCATATCGATGAGAGGTTATCACAATAAACAGGAAATATTAAGTATCGTAGATCCAGGCAGAAGTCTGTATAGGCGTTCCACGCTATGCTCCCTAAAATAACACGTGTATACCATATAACCTCATTATAAGACATGTACACACACCTTGTACATTTAATGTCTGATGACGAAATGCTATAAAAAGGGTTTAAATGAAAGATTTATAAAGTGTTAAGCCGTGAAGCCGCAGAACAATACACTTATCAGCAAGAATTAATCAGATTACACATGCCATTTTGTAACAATAACAGAAACAGGTGCAAATTGCATGAGGGTATTCTGATTGCACTGAATGTGTCAAATAAGCATGATGTATTTGTTATGTAATCCGGGTCCGTGATGAAAATCTTTCCTTGGGTGTCTAAGACAAGCCCGATGGTTTTCATTGCAATACGTTACATGGAGATACGTTGAGGTTAACCTTGTGCTTCCTTTATGATAAACATTTATATTACGTGACAATGCGTAGACAGTTTATCATAAATATCAGGGAACGGCCTTTAGACCACGATAAAAAATGCCAGAGTACGCCAACGTAATATCAAAATCATGCAAAAAACACGAAACAAGCTATCTTGCAATGCACATAAACTCATCAATGTAGCAAGAACGCCCGTTTGTTGTGCATTAATTTTCAACATGATAAATAAAAAGAGTTTAAAAAGCTTGTCCTATATCTCAAAATGATATATTACTTGAATAAAAACAGAAAATCGAAAAAACAACACTAGCAATCGTTATTATGAGATAGTGAACAATGAAGTAAAGTAAGTTAGAGTGGAACTGCGAAGAGGGGGAGGGGGGTGGGGGTGTTGGAAATCATGAAAACCTATTCGCTGTTTATATTTGATATTTGAAAGTATGGACTAATAATAGTTATAAATTGTAGATAAACATTAATGTAGTGGTCAGTCTTTGTCATATCGTCAATGGTTAATCCCTGCCGAAGGAGATTTTCTACCCGGTCGAGCCTTGTGAAGAAAATATTGGCACGTCGTTTCGTTTGGTTAAGCCTCCTTTTCACAGCTACGGTCATATAAAGACGTGCCTCCATGTGAAGTGCTTGTGTGTATGTCTTCCGGAGGCGGTATGTTGGTGTATTTGCTTTCTTGCAATAGCGCCGATAAGATGTCAACTTTTGAGTGATACTGAACCACCTTAAAATACCATGCCGACGGCACCCAGCACAGCACTCCATCCACATTATACTGACAACGGGTTAACCACTTGGTGCAATTAGCTTAAATGCAGGTATTAACAACTACCATTTTTAGGGACGTTGGTGTGTACCAGCCTTGGGACAGAACCCATTGGCTCCCCCCACCAGGGCTGACGGTCAACAATAAAACCAAATGTGAAACATTGCCAAGGAAAGCACTAGGAAACAAAAAACGGTTGTAAGGAATATTTATTATGTTCATTTTTGCGTCCCAAAGTAGAGGGTACAGAGACGAATCCCTAACATTGTACAGGAGTACCCACATTAGTTGCCCCATACACCATGCTGTGGTTAAGAACAGGTATTTTGTTAATTCTCCGGCTTCATTCGGCGGGTTGTCATAATGCCAGACAATAAAGAAAACAAAGTCATCAAAATCGTGACGGAAGATTGTAAATAAGCGTCGTATGATTGAAGCATTTCGGCAGGAAGAGTCGCAATGCGTATTTTATCAAGGGATATAAACACGAGGATAGCTGAGGTGGCACGTGGGGGTTAGACACAAAAAGTATGTTTGACTGATCCTGACATTGACAGAAGAGCGCTACACAGCGCTCCGTGAGTACAATCATAGGCGATAGTGGTATCGACAGTTTCATTACAGAGCTGGCATTCTCATAAAGACGCCTGTAAACTTTGTACACGCTTAAAAGTAGGTTGAGCGATTTTGCATACAATCCTCTAGTATTGTTAGAAATACTTCCTAACCGACAGCTGATAAAGCCACACAACCTAGGAACTATTAATATTAAAGGCTTTAGAGTAAATAGCACTTATTGCACATGACATCATCCGTAGCATATTTCGATTTAGAGCATTAAATAATTGAAATGTGCATGAGTGTAATCAATGAAAGCATTCGGTTTAATGATATTTCAAATATGTCATCAGGATTTTTATCAAATCTTAATATGTATCTCATTTTTCTTTTGTGAAATGAACTCTAGTGAAAAGAGTAAATGTGTCTGTATTTTCATCATTAGAAGAATAACGTTAACTTAAATAAAGTCCGCATACCGTATTTCAGCTAATAAATACCACGGGCTTTTAGATATAAGAGTAAATTATAACGTGTTTTTTAAAATAAAAAAACTTGGCGTTCAGTAGAATTTCTTCACAATTCGACATTTGCTTTGTAAAATTTTCGAAATTTAAAGGATATAAACTCAGTTACTCCAGACGATATGTAAACGAATTGTGTGTATTTCCATGGAAACCATTAAAAAAGAAATGTAACATCATAACAAATAGCCCCGCTCCCAGATGAAAAATATATACAAGAGGGATAAAAATGTATTACAAACGTACTTCCCCTATTTACTGATAATGTGTGTCACATTTCGTGATATATCCGTCACAAATGTAAGTAGAAGTACGTCAGACAATAAACAAAAATTGTCGAAATCATAATTAAATAGCAAATTCATAACTATTTAAGTCTTGTCATCCAATTTTTAAAATATATTCGTCAAGAAGGTATAGGCGGCAATTCTTTGAATTGAAATTAATCTTAAATGAAACATAACCCCAAACAAACCGCAAACCCACTTAAGTATTCCTTATATTTTTGTTTTTAAACCAATCGAAAATATTAGAATTGTTGCGTCAGACAAACAAAAGTCCCCATACGGAAGGATACACGGATGAACACGCTGATCACTACAAATGTTGATTGTAGATAAGATCGCACAGCACAACCGGTGAAGTATTTATGTGTGACTTTTTTATGACAAGTACGATATTTCTCCCACATCTGCTGTAAGTTTCCTCTCTCCCCACTCAATTCATAAATCTTCTATGAGTTGGTAAACATTTTTGGTTACTCACTAGTCGGTAACACCCTTGACGTGATTTCATTAGTCATCTTTGATTTAGAACATCAGGTAACAATGCTTTTCGACGTCATTTTACATTGTTTCCCCTTTCGGAAACACACATGATGTATTTTCCAAGGGGAAAATATGTTTTTTCAGAAAAAATACGAACGTTAAGGGAGAAACAGGTCCCATAACTCGTGATGATTAGTTATCACGTTTATCTAACTCCTGTTAGTTGATTTTCAAATTGTAAAATGTATTCGGTAAAGCTCGTGTCTTTATACAATTTGAAGATTAACTCGAGTTTGATAAACATGATAACCAAACATCATTCGTCGGGGAACCTGTATGTATTACGTCATCTTCCTCAGACAAATGACCGGTAAAGAGTATGTACACTAAGATTATTGGTTTAATGAATGTTTCAGTCTACATTTATTACCTGTCATAGATACGTCACCCATAAACATTTCACTGATTGTACTATATGAACCTTAATGTAATCTATACTTACCGACACGAGGAAAGTATCTTAAAATACCAATTAACTGCGAATATCGTATGTGCATGTACAATGTACCTATCCAATTCGTTCACCTTAACGGAACATGTAAATCACCTTAACCACTAATGTGAGCATATAGAGAAACATTATCTGGAGAATGCCTGTATACTTACAACTTAAGGCTATGGTATCATAACACATATCAAGAAGGAATGCGAATGTATGTTTACAAATATACGTTTCAAAGCTAACACAACATTTTAACAAGAAGTGCAAGTTGATAAGAGGCTGCACTAGTAATGGATACATATTTAAGCAAGAGATACTTTGTATGTTTATAAATGTGTTTCAAAGCTACCAAAGTCTTCCACAAGTGGTTGAAGTATTTTCGAATCTTTGTAAACAACCTACCTGCAGGCAGTCATGTAGACGATTGGAAAGTATTCCGTTACCTATTATACGCGAGTTACTTTGATTTTATCGTAGGTTTACAAAGTATGTTTGTTTGAACCATTTCTTCGTAAGTGGAGCCGCTGACCAGGAAAAGATAAAGTGGGAAATATCAGCTACACGGGATTAACACACAACTACATGGACGAAGAATTATGTATCCTATTGAAACGAACTGCATGCTAGTACTTTAATGTGTACATGATTGGTGCCCCGTGCAACCCCTGTCGATTGTGCCGCCAATATAACTCTTTGGTAAGCCTTGGTTGTCAGACTGATGTGACAGAGAGAGATATCATATTGCCTTGTCAAAGTTATTCCGATTCACTGTACTGGGATTTAAAATTTGCCCCCATCTTCAGAGACATTGTTGACTTTGACCTTCCATTTTTAATATGCTATCAGATGACAAATTTGTGACTAAAATTATATTAATATGTTCAGTAAATATTTGTGGAAAGGCATAATTAACAACTTGTTTTTGCATAAACGAAGTAAGATCTGAACACGGCTTACTAGCACACATATTTGAATAAATCAAATGTCGTATTACAGACCATAGTTCAAATCATATAGAACACAATTACTTCTACAATATTAATTTCTGGTGGTAGATCGAGGTAAATGTATATACAACATTTGATATAGCGCCCTATCTACATGTAGCTAACATAAGCCATTCTAAAGCGCGTTACAGTACATAGATATACAATTAATGCAATTACCATATACTGTACATCAAGCAATACAATTTTGAGAAATTCGTAGGAGCTGCCTTATCAGGCGCTTACTACTAGTCATATGCCCCTGGCTAATATCTCCCTATGAGTGTATGCCTGCATGTGTGCTGTAAATATATTGTGTAAAATTATAATTTCACGTTTGAAGTAAGAGTAAGGTGTCTAAAATGATGCTACTACCCAGTGAAGAGAACGTAGCAAAAGTCCTTCAAATCTCAATATAAAGGCATTTATAGGGATCACAGCACAGTAGATATATCAATTTTTTCATAACATTGAAAAACGCAGCCTTAGGAAACTCCCTCATGAGTCGAATAGACA